GTACGATGGCAAGACTCAGAGGGTCGCAGTTCATCTTATCATTAGATCTCGACGCCCAGCAAAATATACCAGACGTCTGGCCAAACCCATTGCAATCGGCTGGGAGGCGATCTTCGATCGCCATGCCACCGAGGCGGATTTCATGAAGCTCCAGGTTGCGGAGACTGAAGCTGGTCCAATACGTGCCATTGCAGATGATCGTCTCCTCGTCAATGTAAGCGTAGTTCGTACTCCGAAACCGAGGTTCGAACTGATGGTGTCGTTTTGCAGCCAGGCCTCTGGTTGGTGCATCGAATTGCATTTAATATAACCGTCCGACAGTACAAACTGCTTTGGATGTGTAGGTCCTTTTCTCCAGCATCATCCGTCTGTCGGTGGTCTGAATCATCGCAGGTATGGTGCGGTTGCGTATGATCAATCTGGACCCAGACTTCTCCACGCCAACAGAGCACGTCCCTGTACAAGCAATGCCCGGCGCAGAATTCGTCGATCGATGTCTTCAATGCCTTCCATTCGATAAGCGTTACTTGATCGAGGCGCTGCTTTCTCACGGAACGATAACAATCCCAGAAGTCGACGAACTCTTACGCGCCCTTGCACATTACCAACGAGACGACGACCAAATAGTCATCCTCGAGGGTTTGTTCAAGTGGACCAGACAAGCATCGATCGAGAAGGACTTGCAGGGTGCGCACTTCCCCCGGCCCTTCAATAATTTGCGATGATCTGACCTTTGACAGATGTGGCCCGACGAGCAACCCGTTTGCACATTTCGGATACGGGTAGGCATCTCACCGCCGTGAGACGCTGCCTCGTAACGCCGACGCGCTGCGTTCTCAACCCTCCGACATGGGAGACATCGAACGAGATGCTCCGTGACCACGAACACTACGTCGACCGCTTCTTGCGTGTGCAGTTCGTCGACGATGACGGTGACTTCCCGGTGGTGGGGGAGACACTTGTGATCGACGACGAAATGCAAGGGAGAGAAGGTGTCTTCGCCCGTGTACGGCGCGCGCTGTCGGACGGCCTCGTGATTGCAGGTCGCCACTATGTCTTCGCGACCTTTAGCGAGAGTCAGGCCAAGTGCGTAGTGGTCTTACGCGTCTTTGTCGTTGCTAACCACACGCTACAGAGAGCGGGGATGCTGGATGATTGCAGAAGACGGGCCTTTCACTGTCTCTGCCGTCTTGGCGAAGATGGGTGACCTGTCGCAAGAGCGCATCATCGCGAAACATGCCGCAAGACAGAGAGGCTCTAGTATGTCTTTATTTCTGGCCTTGTCTTCAGTTACGACCCTTGCAGGCACTAAGTACGACGAGGGCAGTGCCGAAAAAGATCACGATCAACCGAGCCCTCGATGATATAAAGAGGAATTCCTAGTGCGCTCTCCTTTTCATCAAGCCTTCAGTCCCCTTGATCGTCACATATGCTTGAACAGTGTATTCACCGATGGCGTGGGACACTTCTCGCATTCCCTCGCCCAAGCCTGCGCGAAAACTCTTGGATATCGTCTTATTCCCGTTTCCGCAGCGCAAATCAGGATCGGCGGGGCGAAGGGCGTTCTTGCGGTTGTTCAGGACGAGACTCTCGGGGAGAACGAAGTCAGACTGCGGCCATCGATGATCAAACTTCAGGGTGTGAAGCCGGAGCCAACCCTCAACATCATCAAGGTGAGCAGGACGTTGAGCTCGCAATATCTCCGCTGACCCTATGCCATAGGTTGCAACGTACTCCAAGGCAACCTTGAATCGCCAAGCGATACTACTGATGGAAGACCGCGGAGTGAGCAGCGACACGCTATTTGACATCTTCACGCAAGAAAAGAGGAGAATCCAGGGGCTCGAGTCAGGATTTGATCCGATGCGACTGGCGTCCGTCACCACAGTCAGTCCCCTCGCTATGCTTTGATCGCATGAATAACTCACGTGAATATTTATTTTACCAGTTCCCGCTTGCAAGGGCTCTCAGGCATGATATTAAGGATCCTGTTGTACAGAATGTGACAAGTCTGGTAAAGTGCAGGTTGCTCTGTGACCTCAAGTGGAAGGTACATATCGCCGATCTCGATGGCTTCGCTAATCTAACGCGTGCCGTCTTTGCAGGCCTGGATCGAGTTATCTGAGAGCGCATATCTGATGGGTGCGTACTGCTCAGCATTACGAGACCGATCGCTCTTGATGACGGCTGTTCCGCAGGTATTGCAGACGAGACCGACTCCCTCCAAGAAGGCGAGATTTTCTGCCAAATCCATCCATCAGGCTCGGATCCTCAAGTCATCGAGGCACGGTGCACGATCTACCGGAATCCTTGCTGTAAGCGACTGGCGGTGAGTATGCTTAGGTCATACTGACGCTTAATATCAGTGCATCCTGGTGACGTTCGCCTCGTCACCGCCGTTGACTGTCCAAAGCTGCGCCACTTGCGCAATGTGATCGTATTCAGTACCCGAGGTTGCAGAGACCTACCGAACATGTACGTGGATGTGCGCATGCTGCTATTCCGCTACTAATGCCGCTTCTCGAATCGCGAAGGCTTGCAGGAGGCGATCTGTGAGATCTTGTTCTTCCTCCGAATTGCAGTTGAGAACATCGTAGCTGACTGCATACAGCGACGGAGACTGTTACTCGCTGATTTGGGACCCAAGGCTTTTGATCCCAGAAGGTGGAGAGTACGAGCCGATGGACTATACACCTCCGCCTGCTGTGCGCAGCGAGTATCCGGTCACAATAGAGCAGACGAAGCAGGTGCAATGAGCTGTAGCTTATGCGATAACTCCTGTTAACATTGGCCATTTTTTCAGCATTTCCTGGACACGATGAAGAACGACGTGCTGGGCCGAGTATGCAACGCACACATGGCCCTGGCGGACTTGCACGGCCCGTCTGACTTCCAGTGCCGGGAGCTTGCCTCGCTCGCCTCGCAGGCCGTTGACTTCTCGAAGACGGGTGTAGCCGTACAGCAGTCTGAGATTCCGCGGCTGGAAGAGTACCCCGACTTCATGGGCAAGGTGCGTCTCCCGTGCCACCTTCAAAGTGCAGGAGCTGAAGCCCTGCTAGGAATACAAGTCTATCCGGATATTCAAGAAGCAAGAAATCCGGTCGTATTCGAGCGAAAAGGTCCTCGGCAGGATGTTCCGCGAAATCGATCCCGAGCCGATTTTTGAGGAGGCCGTAGAGCTCGCCGGCGACCCGCGGTTGCTCGAAGCTGGTGAAGAGACTGGTTTCCGGGAGTATCTGCAAGAGGCAGCCATGCACAAGGCGCGATACGAGTTCGAGTTGACGGGACTATTGAGGAGGTAAGGACCGTGCATATGGCGCGTGCCGCGCTGACTGTGAACAGGTACAACATCAACGAGACGGAATGCGTCGCAGGTCTTCTTCTTCGTTCTCCGAAGACGAGGCTGAAGGTTGAGAAAGACTATGACTTGCGGGTACGTTTGGCCGCTTCACTTGAGCTCCGTCGTCGTTTATTGAATAGCACGCCTATCACAGGTTGCTGTCCGCGATGCATACTCCCACATCATTGCTGCAACGATAGCACGCGCTGACGGATATATCAAGGAACATCCGGTCTCAGAAGATTCGACGCAATATCGGCTCGCCTGGGCGATTGCAGCATACAAGCTCACGTACGATCAGGAATATAGTACGTACTTGAAGATCGATTGGGGTAAAGTCGACGAGGCGATATGGGGTGGTGGATATGACGAAACTTTGGACGAATTTGAAGAGGTTGAGAGCTCTGAGAGACGATTGAGTTTTCCTTGGGTTTCTGCCGATTCGCTGTTTATGCTGCTCTGTTGACCAATGTCCTGTTTAGACGGATATCTGCGTGATTTGATCTCAGTCATACTGCGAGATTCATGCATTGATTGTGATTTTATGGCGATCGTAAATCCTCCCTTAGGTTGCTCTCAGAGCTTCATTGCGCTTTTCATGATACAAAGTTCAACGAAACCGCCCTGGTGTGCGAGAGGATCCCATTTGGGTGTGCTTGGTATATCTATAATATACCACGATAGCACAATGCAGTGGCTGTGTAACCTTTCGCGGCGCTCGTCAACAAGGTTCAATGGAAGACCTCATCGGTCGGATCCTTGACAGGCGCGTCACGATATTTGGCTTACAGCTTGTTCATGACAGGTTGGAACGAGGCCCAGCACACACAGCCTGTCTCCGCTTGCCTTCGTCGTCGACACCCACCGTCCCCATCCCCATTCCCCTACGAGCCACAGTGCGCTCCAGCCTTCACTCGAATAGCTCTTTGAACCATGCCCGCCGACACGGCTCCCCCGGGTAAACCTGACGAAAATACTTCAGGCAATGGCCGCGCCAAGGTGAGCGTCCTTGGTCCCCGCACGCCGCGCTCGCTCGGACGACTCGTCCTCGTCTGTGCAGGACAAGCCCGGCCTATCTGGATGGGCCGGAATCGAAGACCATCTCTCTACGAACGATGAAGGTAAGACCAAGGGATCCGCCGAGGACATCGACACCTTGCTCGTCTTCGTAAGTCTCTCCAGTTTTTGACGCTTTCCGTACGACTTCGCGCTTATGATCACCCCATCAAGGCCGGTCTCTTCTCCGCCATCCTCACAGCATTCGTCGTACAGACATACCAGATGCTCCAACCCGACACCCAAGACACCACCAACCAACTCCTCGCTTACAACAGCCAGCTCCTCTCCCACGGCCACACCTATCCCGGAACCGATTATCACATCCCTCCCACCCTCAACATGACCATGACGTCCGTCCTGGAGTCCCAGCCATTCTCTCCCTCAGCCTCGGCACGTTGGATCAACGTGCTCCTGTTCACCAGCCTCGTCCTCAGTCTCGCAGCCGCGCTCTTCGGGATCCTGGCCAAGCAGTGGATCCGCGAGTACATGCTGTGGAACTCGCCGCTTGCCACTCCTCGGGAGAACGTAATGGTGCGGCAGATGCGATTCGAGGACTGGGAGTCGTGGAATGTCGATGCGACGATCGCCGCTGTTCCCGCCCTACTCGAGATCGCAATGGTACTCTTCCTGATCGGCATGGTGATCCTTCTGTGGACGCTTGATGACATTGTCGCGATTATCTTGACGGTCGTCGTGTCTGCATTCCTTCTCACTGTCTCTGCGTTCACCATCCTCCCCGTCCTGTTCCTCCGATGTCCATACCGCTCCCCGACCGCTCAAGCGTGCCTTGCATTGTTCCAGATCATTCGAGCACTCATTTCATATCTCATCAATGCTATGCGCGAGATTCGTCGCGTCATCGCCGCTCGGTGGAGGCACGCTTGCGAGAAGCGGAGTGCGCATACACCACTTCATAGCCAGCCGGCGAGACAGCCCACTCCCGTCTCATCTGACTTGGAACACTCCCCCAGGAGCAGTTCATCGGATCTTTCTGTCCAATTCACTCCACCAGACCCGCTAGCCTTGCTGCTCGCCCGTCTGCTGTCTGTTGCACAATTACTGCCAGCGAAGATTTCGTCCACTGTGCAGTGCTTATGGGATATGGTCTCTGTAGACTGGAGTAAAGAACACATCGGATTTCGAGCTGTGTCATGGCCCCGGTATGTGAGAAACTGGCGGGAAAGAGACCTTGCGAGCCGGACATCGACCAAAGTCTGGACAGGCAGATGGCGTTCTCCATGGCAGGATGTTGGACAAGCTGCGAAGGATGCCCTTAGAATTGAGGCGTGCGATTATGGGGAAGACGGGCAGCACCAGCCTTACTGGCTGGACGATGATATTTTTGCGCCGAACGCAGCGGATGTGGAGGGCCTCCTAGTGGATCTATCAGAGGTCACACTGCTTCTCCGAGCCTTGTCATGGGTCGACCAGTCCTCTCAGGCTCCACGTGTCAAGACATACATCGACACCTGTGCCGAGACCATTCATTCTGACACAATTGCAGCGGCACATCCATGGCGTAGAAGTAACATTGCCGCAGCCACCACATGGCTGATTATCATTGCACTGGGTGATCAAAGGCTCCTCTTAAATCCCCTACGCATCTTTCTTCCAGTTAACAATAGTGAACCACTGGAAACACGCATGCTTCGCCTAAGGCAAGCATCCGGCATCTGGAATTGTCGGTCGGACTCTGATTACAGCGGAGAACTGGGCCAGAGCCAGCAGCGATCACTTTCAATCACAGCCGCAGACGAGTCATGTCAGTACATCATTCCTATCTTCCAGCGCACCATTGCGGCCGACACTAGCTATGTGTACATGTGCGAGGAGCAGCCGAACATCAGAGACTTGCGGCGAGCTGCAGAACTATTCCCACTCCTTGCTCAGGCTGCTCGCAGCACTCCGCCAGCTATGGCAGTTTATGAGTCCCTTCTACGTGGATACAGATATCAAGACTTGCCACTTTACTTCAAAGTGTTCAAATTGGCCGATAAGTATGGACATATCAGTGTGAGACCTGCAGATAGATCTCTAGGTGAGTTTGTCCGGTTTGTCTCCTTGAGCAGCTTGGTCATGCATGCTGTCTTTGCCTACACCAGCTGTGCGCACACAAGATGAAATAGGTACCGACTACCGATCGCTCATACTCGATTGGTTTGAAGATGATCTGGCATCCACCTCCATTTCCCGGCTCCGAATCTTCCTTCTAGTTTCGAGCAGGTGGCTAATGAGTATACATAAGCGACACTTCCGGGATCTCAGCTCAGCAGACTCAAAAACACTAGAGAAGATGACCAAGGCACTGGAGGAGATCATGAAGCGAGGTCTATCTGATGGAGACAGTGTGGATGATGAAGCTACAGTGGCAGAGTGTCTATTGTGGCTGGAAACTGATATTGACAGGATCACCATGGAAGAGGCTCCCTACAGCCTGCCTGTGCGCCAACTTGTCCACACCTTAGAGAGGTGCTACCACCAGAGTGTGCTAGATGACACGCAGCAAGTCAGGCAGGATCTGCATTGGTGTCTCCAACGAGTGCACGAGAACATGCAGGAGAGGTGCGAGGAGTCGAGCTGCCACTGGATCTCTCACACCTGCGATGAAGACGATTTCTGGTTCGAGAAATGCCCACTACTGTCCAAAAGCGCAGGCCCTAGTGACCCGGCTGGAGCTGCTGCACCTTCCGGACCCTCCAGACCCTCCAGCGCACTTTCACATACTACACCAGCCTTATCCCTGCGACACGGGCCCAGCGACGCTGACGCCGAGCAAATGCGCCCGGCGCCGCATCCCCCTCTGACAAGCCCCGCCGCCGCGGCACCGGCGCAAATGGGCTTCCTCGACAATTTGGATGCAGACTACCGTGACACCAGCTTCGTGGACGATTGGTTCCTCGCGTATCCACTGGCTGCACGCGGACGAGACGACGCGCTTGACATCAAGATCGATGAGACTGCCCTGCATGCAGCCCAGGTCGCATCCTCGATCGTCCAATCCAGCGGTGCGGACGCTCCTCTCGAGACAACACCACAGGCGAGTGGTGGGATCTCAGTTAATTTGGGATCAGTGTCCGAGACCGCGAGCGCAGAAGGCAGAGCCGTCCAGGAGGACGAAGCGCCCACGACGAGTAACGGAAGCTGCGAGCCGCATGTTTGCCACGAGTTGGACACAGAGGGTAACGCTGCCCCAAATCCAGCGCAATCAGAGTCGGTCGTGCTGCCGCCGCCGTTGATGGCTCACGTTGGTCCTTCGACTCCACCTTTGAATACCTCCTCGTCAGATGATTTCACGCCCGCAGATGAGCCCACCTACCGTGCGTGGCAGTTTCAGAGCGGCATCAGTCTTGAATTCGCTGACAGTGATATGTAGACAATCCACCTGATGCGGCGGAAGCCGGTGTTCGGCCCCAGGTAGAGCGGCGTACAAGCTCTCGGGACGCGTCGTCTTTATTCCAAATTCAGTCAGGAGATGTCGACCAGGGTACGGAAGAGTACGAAATGAGAGTTTACGATGGCGATGGCCCGGAGACTTCAGGCGCACGAGAGTAGAGGTGGGGCGCCACGGGAAGGCGGACGGTTTGACAGGTCACAGTGGAGCAGGGCGCAGACATAGACTAGTTGTATATTTCATACACTTGCTGTGATATTCGTGTTCGCTCCTCGCTCGGACTCGGCCCGGCCGGGCGTCGTGATGGGTAGCAGTCGAGCAATATCATTCACGATAGATGCACCAGAATATGTATGGTACGGCAGTGTACGCTAACAGAACTACAAGATATGTATTAGCAATGAGTAACGGATTGGATGGGCCTAATGCATAACGACCTGCAGGTTGTTCGAATATAGGAGGCAGGGCTGGCGTGTTCGCCAAACGCGCAAGCAAGACTCGCGGTAGAGGATTTGGCGCGGACAAATCGCTGTCAATTTCCGAGACAAGACTGAGCCTGAGCCTTGTAATTACACTGTCTGTGAACCATCTGATTGAGCAGAGGGTTGTGGTCGACGAAAACATGCAAAAAAATAAGTTGCCCAGTTCCCGCCATACATGTACAGAGCAAATGTAAGCACCTCAGCAACATCGCTCAGCTGGCAAACGTGCGCCACCGTTCACATGTATGTATCTGCCAGCCTGCGAACGTGTGGTCCGTCAGCCGATGTCACCTAATTAATTATAGGGTACGCACTCGAATCACTCACTGTCCGTGTGGACTTCTGCAGCCATGATGGCAGCACAGAAATGCAGAAAGATGGGTCCGTCTTCCGACAGTGTTGCCCTCGTATTTCCTGCAGGTAGAAACAAGCCAATTTTCAGCCGCGTCGCGGGGCTCAATCTGGGAAGTTGCTCACCAGACGGCAGAAGTTGCTCCAGGCATGCTTGTCGCGGGCGCGACGAGCAGCTCGTCA